ACCCAGCATGAGTTTCAAGCCTTGGGGTCTGGAACTTGAACCATGTTCAGCCACTTGGGTGTTCACCAACGTAATCACTATGCCTATCTGCCTATATTAAATATATATATTGAAAAACATATATTAATTTGAAATCCACACGTCATTTTTTTCATAATACACATTTTCCATGAACTCGGAGAGCCCGTGTCTATTACTGCAGTCTCTCCTCATCTAAATTGAGCACTAGAGTGGTTAAGCAGAACTGTTAGATGTGTTTCTTTGCAACCTGTGACCTATGGTAGGTACCTGCTTTGGTACGTGTCTAGTCATAATGCTTTTTTATGTGTAAACCAGGATTTAGCCAGTTAAAGTGAGGAATTTGGTGGGAGTGAAAATTGCAAGCTTTATTTTCAGTCTGTCTCTAATTCTGACTCATTATTCCTTCCTTTCTTGTTGTCTTTGTGAACCCTACTTCTCAATATTCAGGGAAGAAAAACAGTAGAAGTATGTGGTATAGAGAATTTCAGTCAGTGATTACGGTGGATAAACAGTTTAAAGAAAAATTTAGGAGACTTTTATTGTTATTTCAACTAAAATTTCCCTCTTTCCCCAAAACTTTTCTCCTGTTGTTTATGTCTTAGATCAACCCACAGCTAGGAATGGTTTTCACATTGTTAAGTAATTATATTTTAAGTTGTTAAATAAGTAACTACATAATTATCTTTCATTTTTGCCTTGCCTGAAATAATTCCCATTTTGTCCTTTATCCATCCTCTGCCTTAGATAAATATGTTTTGGATTATCATCAATAAAATATATACATAAGATAGAATCTAAGGAAACTATAGGTAATGTTCTTTTTGAAATAATTACCTATTTAATTTTATTGTTATTATTTTTTAATTTTACCAGAGAGAGACAGGAAAAGTAAGAAAGTAAGCTGTCAGATCAGGGACTCAAACCGAAGTCAGCCATATGGGAGCTCAGCACCGCAATCACCATGCCACTGCAGGCCCCGGTAGTGTTTTTTTAGACATAATTCCTTTTAATGTTTCAGGGGCACTGAAATAGAATTTCTTTTTTTTTTTTTAAGAATTATTTTATTTAAGTTTATGTATTTTATTTATTTTGATTTGAGCAGAGGGAGAGTGAGAGAAAGAGCAAGAGAAAGAAGGAAAGTGAGAAAGCAAGACTCCAGGTCCAGGACTCAGACTGTGGTTGGCCACATGGAGTCCAGCACCCTTAACCACCATGCCACACGCCAACCTCAAAATAGAATTTCTTTTGATTATTCCTTGATTGAAAAGGGAAACATTTGAATTTCTACAGCAAGAAATAGCTTGAGTGATACTCAGTATTCAGTAAGCACATCTATTTGTTATTGCATATGAGAACCTATACTTCTGAAATTACTTGAGAAAAATAAGTGCAATAACCAGTCTTTTCTCTGAAATAACGTTTTGCTTTTTAACTTCCTTACAGTTTCTATTTCATCGTCCATTAAGGCTGTTAAATCTGCTCATCCTTATTGAGGGCAGTGTCGTCTTCTACCAGCTCTATTCCTTGCTGCGATCGGAGAAGTGGAACCACACACTTTCCATGGCGCTCATCCTCTTCTGCAACTACTACGTTTTATTTAAGCTCCTACGGGACAGAATAGTATTAGGCAGGGCATACTCCTACCCACTCAACAGTTACGAACTCAAGGCAAACTAAACTGCCTTTCAACAATGAGGGAGAACTCAGATAAAAATATTTTCATACGTTCTATTTTTTTCTTGCGATTTTTATAAATATTTAAGATATTTTATATTTTGTATACTATTATGTTTTGAAAGTCGGGAAGGGTAAGGGATATTAAATGTATCCATAAACAAGGTGATGTGATCTTTCATGTGTTAGTATATTTGAACAATATACATATGAGAAGTATGCCTCTTCAGTAAAGAGAATGATTCACTTGTTTGGCTCTGGAAGAACTCGTTCATTCATGAGCAAATCTCGTGTGCCACTGGGCACAGTACCTTTGGCGTGTCTGCCCTCCTTCCAGCCCTTCTCTTTACTTTTAGTCCTCAGCTGGCCAGTAATTGCGACAGAAGGAGATCCATGAGTTGCCTGCTGAAGCACATTCCCTTTTAATGGCCAGTGGTTTGGAATACTTAGGGAGCAAAGTGGGTTGCAGTTTCAGGTGGGGTTCTCTTTGTTGCCTACTGGGAAGAAGCATTTCTGAGGTAGAGACTCAGCTGCTCTATGCTACCCGGTGACATTTAAATGTGATTTTGAATAAGCTCAAAGGAAGTACTGTCCCTCAGTCCAAGGGCTCCCAAGACTCCTGTGTTTTTGATGTCACTTTCTGTTCTTTGACTTTTGCTCCCAAAGGTTTTCCATTACTCTTGGTTATTTGAAATATACTTTTTGAGACAGAAAGTCTTTATAGTGCTCACAGGAAGGAGATAATACATGGCTGGATCAGTGGGGAAGAGTGCAGATACTGTGTGGGCAGGTTGAACGTGCCAGGTCACTGGAAGAATGAGCAGGTTCTCAGCTGACCTGTCTAGGATGCAGTCCAGCCGCAGCCTACCTATAGTGGCCTTAGGGCAGGAGTTACAAGGGAAGTAAGGTAGAAAGATGGTATCATTGTCCTCAGAGGGTTCGATCTACATTCAAAGTGTGTTTCAATTTTTATATTACAGAATCTTTCTGTAAGCATAAACCTGTAGAACTTCCCAAGTTCTGAGAGCTGATATACATAGTTCATTGATGTGGTCCTTTTAACTGAACTTCTGAGGCCGTACCTTGGAGAGCCTAAATGTATCATCATGTTTTCTGGGTTTGGTTTTTTACACTATGAAGCTTTAGGTAAAACAAAATATTAAGTAGGAAGTAAAAAGACTAATCTTAATAATTCATAAGCTGGCTTTGAAGATAATTCTTTTGTTTTGGAGAAGATTTTGCTATAGGGCGTGTACGCTCACCAGAAAGACAGAGACAGAGAGACAGAAAGCGAGAAATCACCCCCCAGGGGTTATGACCACACCGCAATCCATTCTCCTTCATTCTTTTCTTGGGGTCCTGGGCACATGCACACACACGCACGGCATGATTTTAAGCCACCAGGTCCAGGACTCGAACCGTGGTCTACTCCATGGGAGTCCAGCAATGTAGCTATTACACCAACTGCTGGTCCCCGTAAATATACTTTTTTTAAAAAAGTTAAACTATTTAGCATTTAGTCTGAGTCTTTTCAACCATTCAATAACTAATATGGACCACCAGGTGCTGTAATAGACACTAGGGATAGAGAGATAGCATTGAAATAAGAAATGCAAGGACCCTAATAAAGGGATATAGTACTGAATAAGATATACGAGGACCATCATAGAGCTTACAGTTCTGGGCACAACTAGGTGGTAAAAGGGGGTGGAGTTTAAGAAGACTTTTGTGCAAGTTAAAAGAAACTAGCATGTTTATATACAGAGAGAAACTTGAATAATGGATGGAAGGAGACAGAACACAGGAGTCTTGGGAGCCCTTGGAATGAGGGACAGTACTTCCTTTGAGCTAGAAAGGAGACTAGGTGGCAGTGGGAGATCGAAGAAAGACGTGATAGAAGCTTGTGAAGCAAGAGGCAACTCCTTCTAGAAAGCTTAGAACGTGGAATAGCCGTTGTAGATGTGGGGGATAAGGCCACTGCTGAGGTGGTAAGTGGTCTCACAAAGTTGTATGGTTTTCTCGGATCTAAGTCACAGACACTGTAAAAGGGTAGAGAAGTCCTGGTCTGTCCTAGGTTCCAGGCTTGCCAAACAGTTGGAGGTGGTGGACTAGTAGTCAAGGGGCTTAATGGTCCTGGAGAGAGTAGTTGAGCTGACACAGCTGGGTCTGGAAAGGCTAGGGAGGGAAGTAAGACTTTGAGGGGGTGCTATTTGGCAAGAGTTGGCTAAACCAGGCATTGGTAATCTTACGCAAATAGGAATAAAGTAACAGGCATGGGAGAAGGTTTTTAAAATGAAAAACAGGAATTTAGGATCACAGTACTTGGTGGTAAAACAGTCTGGTGTGTAACCCTAGAAGCTGAGTTGAGGTGAAAGCAGCATGTGTAGCAAGAGTATTAGGTAGGTTTTCCTCAAGAACGTTGAAGTCACCCAGGATGATGGGATGTGAGGTAGAAGGAAATATCTTTGCTGTTTACCAAAGATGGAGAAGTCTAGGACATTTGCTGCATTATGACTGCAAAGAATGGGAAAAGTTAATATGACAATCCATAGATTTTGGTTACAAGGGATTTTTGTGTGAGATGAGAACAGTGCTACATATGTAGAAGTGAGAAACTGGGAGAATATGCTCCCTGCCTTTTAGACAGGGAAAGAAGTTTTGCACAGGGTTACTGAAATCCAGGAAGTGGCAACAAAATTCAGCAAACAGACTGGGGCTGCAGGGGAGTTTATAAGGAGAGGATGATTCCTTTTAACTTACGACCGGGAAAAATTGGGAGTTGGGGGAACTGTGTGTTGGTAGGGTGGGGAGAGGTTTGGGAGGGGAACAGGAGTGCAGGGATCTGGGAGTATATAGGAGAAAAAGGCATTTAGGACCATAGTGAAGGAGCAGGCTTGTGTGGTGCAGATCCTAAATAGAACATTGTTGCCAAAATGGTGGTAGTTTTTTTAATCCCCTTGGCAGTGTTATTTTTCACCATAAATATCACTAAGTTGTGAACCTAGGTTGTGTGATTGTTGTCCCCTCCCGCACCATTTCTGGTGACATGTGCCAGAATAACAAGTGTGTGCTTTTTATCCTCAGAGCATTATTCACACTCACTCAAAAGAATAGTTCTTGACTGATTCTATTAATAAGGAAATTGATTTGCATCTGTGTGGATAGACCCACACGATTGATTCCTTACACTGTGAAGTTCTGAGAAGCAGTATTTTCCTTAGTTTTTGTTATGATATCATGGACTTAATACTTGGTGTCTTGTACTTAATACTTGCATGACATGACTGAATATAACAGCGAGAGGGTGAAGTTGCAAACATTTGATAATTATCAATCTGTAAGATAACAAAAACAAATTTACTGAACAAAATCAGCAGGGTTTCTGCTATGAAACCATACCTTGAAGTAACAAGAAATTGACATTAAACCAAGCTAGAACAAATGAGTCTGATGCATATAATGTACTTTTCTGATTATTAATTTTGTTGACCCCCATGTCCTCTAGCTCATAGTCCCATCATAAGCATTATGTTTTATACCATTTATTAGAGTATGTTTTAAAGCATAACAATCTGTTTTAATAATTACACTTAAATGTTTCTATGGATAGGTTTAATATTTATACTTTTTAATCAATAGAAAAACATTTTGATTATATCTTTGAAAACATTCGTAGAGCTCAAAAACAGCTGAAATCGTGTGGCTTTCTAACAGATTCCTTTGAAAAAGTGCTTTACTTTGCAGGATTATTATATAAGCCAGAAAGTACTATGGCATTAAGTTATTGCAAGACATTGTGAGTCATCCAGTAAAACACACCGCATACGGGCTTCATGTGTTTCTTGTATTTAGCTATGTCCTCCTCCATCCTAACAGAGAAGCTATCCCTGCCTGGCTCATGTACCTTAAAGTTACTAAGTGATCTGCTATGTGCCCATCAACCTGTGGTGACCCCCAATTTTAGACTGTCTGGATCGGCATTGAATTTAGGCACTACCCTGCTACCATCTCCACCTCCTCCATGCTTAAAAAGGTGCTCACTCCCTCTCCTGCCTTATTTGGCTAGGAAAAGTGTTGTGCGGGTATGTTCTTTATCATTCTACATTTCGAGCTGACTCTCCTGCTGGAAGTGCCTAAACTCATGGTACTGCAACACTCAACCCCAAAATTCATCAGATAGGACTGGCCATGGTGGAATGTGGCCCTAATCCGTCCTGGTGGGAATTAGACCTACCATGAACTTCTCATTCCAATAACAGACAAACGCATCTGTGTTCCCCAAGACCTCTTTAGGTGGGCTCATGAGGGTTGTATAGACAAGACTGTCCCATCCACTTTCAGACAAATGTGATGACCATGTGTTAAACACTCTAATGAAAAACAAGTTTGTCTTGGGCCTAGAATGTCATCACTAACAGGAGTTAGCCCACTTTGTGAGGACAAGTCTGTAAAATCCCCTCTCAAGGAGAACAGAATGCTAATCTTACCTGGCTCGTTTGCAGAGATCCAACAGGACTTCACAACCAAACTAATTAGAACCACACAAAACCTTACAACTACTTATTCTACCTAGTGGCCACTCTAATTTTTTAAATCAAAGCAATGTTCTCAATACCTGTCTTACTGGTACATTCTACTGGATTTGCAGTAGTTTTTAATTTGGTTATTTCCAGTCAGTAGGTCACTTGAATACTATTAACCTTATTAAAAGATGCTGTTTCTACATTCCCCCCCTCCCCTTTGCCTTTATTTGACTGAGAATGTGAATCAGCTTCCAAGGTCTTCTGTAACTGGCTAGCCAGGAAAGCTCAGAGTAGGCGGTATCTCCAGACAACTGTCAGTGCATCTCATGATGACATCCACAGGTCTACACTCCTGAAGGTGATGCTGTAAATGGCCAACCTTAGCAACATGGCAGCCATTTTATACATAAGACACCTCAACCCATGGAATTGAAGTTGCTAGTTAATATATAAATGATGGCTTCTCAGTCTATCCCAAGATAAACACATAAGTGTTATAAATGAAAAATTTAAATCATAAAATAGTTTAAACATTTCATTATTTGGCTCAGTTCTGATGGTGAAACAAAGTGCCAGTTTCTCCCTCTCATTAGTAGGAACATGGTCCTTATCAAAGCAGAGACACCACAAGTGCACTGAGGCTGACATAAAACCTGTCTACCACATTTTCTGATGAGGCAGGAATGTAATTTCAGATGTCTGCTCTATGGCCTTTCTCACCTGTCACTACTGTATTTCTTCACCTTGTTTGCCTAGGGGGAAGATGCTGTATTCTAGGACTTTTCTTAGCGATTGATACCTCATTGGCTGTTGCTCCAGTGTTTTGCTTGCCCAATGGGAATGGAAGGGCTATTGATTGCTCCCTGCTCAGTTGTCTCTGCTCACCAAAGGCAGAACTCATCAGCTGCCTTGCCAGTTGCACCTTCACCACAGACACTGGCTTAAAAGGTACGGGATAAGATTTAAAAACTGTTAGGCTTATCAGGGAGGAAGAGGATATATATCTGTTGCAGGCTGTCAGCTTCCAGTTTCTCATTGGAGGAGACAGCTTCAGCTCAGCCCAGCACCAGCTCTGGTTGTGAGGTCTGCCAGGGTACTGATAGTCCTTAGTGAGATTTCTGCAATGGCTGAGTTTCTGAACAGAGTTTGGTCAGGCCAGAACCTGAGAAGAGATGCCCTGTGAAGCCCTTTTTGGAGAAGCACCAAAAATCTGCCAGCAGGTATATTAGTTCTTCCTCCCTCTAGCTGAAAAGGAAAGAACCATTGAAAGTTGTAAATAATGGAATGAAAAAAAAAATCAGATCAGTTTATTGCTTTTGCTTGTGTAGAGATAGTAAGTTTGAGTGTGGAGTGAATGGTGAATGAGAAGAATGATGGAAGAGAGAGCGGTACCTTAGATCTGCTGTTGAGCAATGGAAGGAGAAAGGAAGGGACTCTGGTTTAAATGAAATACATTTTCAGGGGTAGCTCTCGGTGGGCGGCAGTGATGGCTGCTTTGCTAGGGCCGACCCTTCTGGGCCTCCTCCTCTTGTCCTCTCCTGTCCTGTTGGGCCCAGCCTAGTGTAGGTGAATGAAGGTGAACAAGAAGTATTTTCTGCTCATTCCTCACCCATTGAAACACATTATGTTTGGAGTGGAGTTCTGTCTATGTGAGGCTTTTCTCCATGATGACAAACTGTTCTTAGACATCGATATTGTCATTGAAAGCAGATACTTTCACTTCACTGTTGCGTACCTATATGAAGATTCAGTATACTTCATTAAGGTAACCTCAGCTCAGTCCACTCCCTGCCCAGCTACTGGATTTATAAATGAGAGTTCAGCACAGAGGCAGTTGGAGTTTCAGATTAATCAAAGCCAAAGCCAGAAAGTTTCCTTGGATGGTGTGAGTTGGAATCTTGAGTATAGGTTCTGTTTTCCTATACTGGCATATGGAGTCATCTTGGACAGACCCGTTGAAATTCCTGGGAAAAAGCACGGGTGAGTTTACCCACTTAGGTATCTAAGTGCATGTTATTTTCCATTTCCAAATCTGCTTCTATTTTGGATAGTCCACTTACAAAGCTTATTAGAAAACTGGTCTAAAAGGACCATGCTTAAAAGCACTAAAAAGCATGAAGTAAAGATGAGGCCTTCAAACCTCAACGGCAGCATTTTCCAACACAAACAAAAGATTTTTCTTTCAAGGGGCATTACCACAGCCAGCCCTCAACAGTAATGGATTGTTTTTAGGGGAGTAATGCAACTCAAAAACAAGCCCCAAATTTCACTGAAGGCAAGCGTCCTCTTCTCTTACCTAACCTTTCTCAGTTGCTCATATAGACTTATCTAAATTTCACCTTTTGGTCCTTCCCTTGACCACCCTTTAAGAAGTGAGCTAATTAGTAAATAGTTAAAAGGCTGAAGAAAGAAGTCAGAGGCCAGCATAAGCCCAAACTCGATAACTGGTGCCTAGAAAATGGCACGTTGGCCCTCTAGTAACTTCTAGATGAACCATGATGGGTTTTTTGGACACTAGATGAACTGATTATCATTCTATTTGCCTCCCACTTCTTCCATCCAGAATCACTGATCTCCGCTGGGGCTGGTAAAAACAGCTGGTTGAGGTCTCTAGTCTCTGGCCATTCTTAGGGATGGTCATTTTATTCCTAAGTGTAACCCCTTCTGGTGTGACCCATGTGTTTTCTGCCAACTCCCCACAAAGAAGGCCAGGGGAAACTGTCTGGGCAGGACTTTTGATAGGGGACAGCAAGACCTTGGAATCTGTCACTGTGGATGAGGGGGGCAGGTGGTCCATAATAGGGAAAGGAGGGCTGAATAAGATTAGGCTCTGAGGTCTTCCTGGCCTTGACCTGTGGAAAGGCTTGGAACCGCCAGATGGTCGCTCTATTTTTGAAGAAAGAAGGTTGTCCTCAGCTGGTTCTGTCTCTGAAGTGCGCTTTCTGCATTGCACTGTCATGTCCTGGGTGGACAGCAGGTTAGACAAGCCTGGTTCTGGAGGAAGAGGGGGTCCCTCACACATGCAGGCTGCAGTGGATTCCACTGGTGAGGACTTAATGGCTCCCGTGTCTTGCTTTGGTTTCTCTTCCTTTGGGCTTTCCAGGGAGGATGAAGACTCATCTTTGGCAGGTTTCTGGGAGGTCTCCCTAGTTGAGCTGGCTTCCTCTTGGCTCCTTTCCAGCAGCCGAGCCCCACTCTCCCCTGAGTTCTGAGAGGGCAGGGGCTGTGGGATCTGTGTGTACTGAATCTTGGGTGGGATGACTGGGACTGCCCTGGCCTGGCACATTTTGACCATAAAGGAGGTTCTCACAGCTGACACACTCACCGGAGCTGAGTTCCGGCGCCCTGTTAAGGCATGGGCGACAATGTCCAGGTCCTGGGGGTCCTGGGGGTACAACCTCCAGGGATCTGCTTTACAGTGAGATGAAGTCATCCATGTGACCTCTGAATCTCCTGGCTCAGAGAACTGCATTCCAGGCGAACTAAATGAGGCTACATTCTCCAACCGGAAGAGGTCAGCAATGGGAATGGCAGAGTCCAGGTTGAGGGAAGAAGGTCTGTGTTTCCCTTTGAGGAGCCCACACTCAGTGTTCTTCAGCTCTAACTTTGGGGGATGCTCTCCAGGCGAGGCCGTGTCTTGAATGGTTGGTGAACTCTCCTTGCTGCTTTCTGGTCCAGAAACACCACCTTGCTTCATCCGCAGGTTGCTGTGCACGGAGTGTGTCTCCAGGTCCTTCCCCTCTGCTAGGCTGACAGGGCTGCTTTCTGCTGGTGTGGGTCCCTTCTGGCTGGGAAGAGCTTCTGTCCCTTTCAGTCCAGAGAACTCTCTGAAGGACCTAAGGGCTTTCTCATCCCATCCAATAATCTCCCCTTTCAGTGTTGGGGGCTGCAGAGGATCCGAATTCCTCTCTGTTTCAAGGTTAGCACAGCTGCTGGAGGAGGGAGCCTCCAGAGTCCATTGGCTCTTGACTGTAGTTTTACTGTCTAGAGAACGGCTCTGGCGGAGGCTGGGCCTGTGGGAAAGCCGCCTCTCCAATCGGTGGCTTTGCACCTGGGCCTCCTGCACATCTTTCAGGGTGGGAGAGTGAAGGGGACTTGTCACCCACTGCGGCTCTTCCCAGGGCTCCACCATCTCCAGGCCATGCTGGGCAATGTCTGTCACAGTGTCATCTTCGTCACAGTCTGAAGGCTCCTGGGTTGAATGGGCTGCCTCCCCCTCACCTTGTGGGGAGAACTCCACCTCCCCTGTTGGGCTTGGAAAGCCAGAACTTTTCTCCTCGGGAGCAGCATTCTTTGAATTTTGCTTTTCACTTTGTCTTGGGGTGGTCTCATCTTCGGGACAGAGGCTCGGGGTGCCAGATTGGTCTGTAGACTTCAGCTGGTCAACTGGGGGATTTGTCCGCAAAGGTCTGGATACCTCGTCACTCGCAGGGCAGTCCATGGATGGCAGGACTCGAGGCGCCTCCTCCAGAGGAGTTGGAGGGGGAGGAGCAGGTGGAAGCGGAGGGGACAGATTACCTGGGCCTCGCGCTTGCACTTTTGCTTGTGGCAACACTGCCTCATACGGAACTATTTCCAGAGGGATGAGGCTGGCGGGATCTGGGCGCAGGCCCGGCTGTGGATCGGCTCTACAGAGGATGGTGGGTGACTCTGGCTTCTCTCTATTTGCTGCGGAGGATCCCTGTGTGTTCTGATTGGCTGGATCCTTAGTCCCCTCCTCCAGAGGGGCGGAGTCCGGAGCCAGGGTGGAGCCACAAGACAAGCTCCCAGGAGAGTCAGGCGAAGCAAGGGGCCCTGGGCTGGATTCAGGAATTGGCTGAATTGGGCTGATCCTCAGAGCCGATGTTGATAATGAAGAGAGCTCCTCTTCAGATTCGATAATTTTCAGCTCCTGTTGAATCTCCGGCCAGATCAGGGTGTTGACCAGATCATCTTCATCCTGAAAAACATGGAAAGACTGATTACTTTAGAACCACGGTCTCCGGGCTCGGTCTCCACACCTGTGCAGAGAGAGGACTGGTCAGAGCAGTGTCGTCAGCCAGCGCTGCCTCGGAAGATAGAAGACACAGCATCGACAGCTATGGACGTGCCATGGATACCTTAGCTGTATCTTCTTGTTTAATTTCCCCAACAATGCTGAGATAAACACTTCTTAATTATTCCCATTTTATAGAAAGGAGGCCTTGGTTCAAACAGATTAAACAATTCCCCTAAATCATGCAGCAGCAGACTGGGACTGAGATCCAGTTCTGTCCAGCTGGAACATAAACGCATAATTCTTAGGCACTGTTGCCTCGTAAAACAAACCCTGGTTTCATTTAACTTCAGGTTTCCTAGAAGACACACATGAATGAAAATTTCCAACTGGAATGAAAATGTTAACTCTTACCCTGATGCCTGCTTTCCAAATAAATAAATGTAGTTCTCTTTTCTTCTTACCAAAGAAATACTGTATATGCTCCACATGGACAAAAATCAAATGCATATTAAAATAAAGGTGAATACAATAATTGCAAACTCTTATGATACTACCACCTACAGATAACTGCTAACAAGCAGGGGGTTCTTTTCTGTGGTTGTTGCATTTCCTCCTCCTCTATCATGTTTGATGTCATGGTCTTCTCTCAAGCCTAGCTTCTGTGTGTTTTTCTTTACCTTCTTTTGCTACACAAAGCCTAAAGCTGAAGACAGGAAAGGGATGGAGGAAGGCCTGGTCAGGGTCAGCAAAACAATCCCCAGTTCCTTTCCTTTCTTGTCCCAAGGCCTGATTGTGTCCCAAGGAGAAGCACTTGGAGAGGCATCTCCATCCTGTGGCTGTGTGGCCTTTCTGCAAAGTCTGCCTTGCCAATCTCTCATTGCATCTCTTCTGGCTCTACTCACAAGGTGTTCCATATTACCATTACTTTTTATGCTTGTAATATCATTCCCAATGGACTGCCAAGTTCTTCCAGGTCAGGGATTGTGTTTAGGCTTTGTGATCCCTCAAGGCCAAATGGCGCCTGGTTTACTGTGAGTAGTTGCTCAGTAGAGAGTCTGTGGAATTGAAATGGATCCAATGTCTCCTTCTGGTATTTCTTTCAGATAACTTTCAAAGTCTCTGATTTCACTGCACTTCATTCATTTGGGCACATTTCCATTTTGTCTACTAGACTGTGCCCTTCTTCAGGGCAGAGACAACCTCACTCATCTCTTTATTCTCCTCAGTACATATACTAATGAATCTCTTACTTACAAATCAGCACATTTAGATGAATGAATGAACATCTAAACTTCCCTCCACTCCGCTCTGCCATCTCAGTAGGAGACCCCATAGTGCTCAGATTAGGGGCCTCAGATGTGTGTGACTCTTCCTTCTTCTTCCTCATCCAGTTCTCCACTAGTCCTGTTCATTCCACCTTCTAAATAGCTTTTGAATCTTTCGCTTCTATCCTCATGGCCTCTGCCCTAGTCTAAGCCACCTCCTTCTCTCACCTGGCTTGCCACGTACAAGCCTCCTAACTGGCATCCCTACCCCCTTCCTTGCCCTCCGAGACAATCTCCTCACAGAATAGAGTGACCCTTTAAAGATAAAATTTGGGGGACCAGCAGTTAGCGTAATGGCTATGTTGCTGGACTCCCATGTAGTCGACTGCGGTTCGAGTCCCGGACCTGGTGGCTTAGAACTCATGCCGGGTGCATGTGCATGAGTGCCCAAGATCCCGAGAGGAGAATGGAGGAGAAGGGATTGCGGTGTGGCATCCCCCCTGGGGGGGTGATTTCTCGCTTTCTGTCTCTCTGTCTGGCAAGCACATGCGCCCTATGGCAAAAACCTCTCCAAAAAATAAATAAATAAAATAAAATTTGAACATATATGGTTTTTCCCCTTGTCCTTAGGCTAATCTCTGTTTTCTTCCATGCAGTCCTGGCTCACCAGCCTTCTGCTTTCCCCTGAACCTCTCTTTCTCCAGGTATTCTGTCTTTGTTGCCATTCCTTGAATGTTGCATGCTCTTTCCCACCTCAGAGTCCATAATATGGCTTGCTCTTTCAGCCTGGGAGTCTCTCCTTTCTAATCCTACTACCTGCCCCTTTCCTCTAGCTAAGTTCCCAACCTAAATACCTACTCTTCAGAGGAACATTCCCTGGCCCTTGTGACAACCCTGCCCCTTGACTAGGTTAGGTCCTCCTGGTATATCCAACCATGGAACCCCATGCTTTCATGTCACTCTAGAAACCACTTGTTCACTAATCTCTCTCCACTAGGCTGTCAGCCCCAAGAAGGCAGGGATGGGGCTCACTCTCCACTTCACAACTGTGATCTCAGAGCTCAGCACAGGGCCTGGTACAAAGTGGTTGTTTAATGCATGTTTGGAATGAATGAACGATGCCTTTACTTGTTCCCTTGAATCCACTCTGGTTCTGGTTCTCCTTTCGGAACTAATTTGTCTACTTCTCAAAGCAATCTCATTCATTCTCCCATAAGAATTCAATCTCCATATGAATCTCTTCCCCTTCAACAAATGCAACCACAACTTACAGGAACCCTCACTCAGCCCCTCAGGAACTGCTGTGGCACTCAGCTCTGCAGTAACTCCTAACACATGGTCCTTTTGTGCATTCTAGAAACCAACTTCCTGGAAACAAGTTAGAAGTCAAAGAGCTTCTTTTCCCCTTTGGTATACTCCTGGTCACAGAGCTCCCTCCCAAAGGCAGGACTCCTCCCTAGTTGTTCCTGGAAAACCTCTTTAAACCTTTTTATGTAAGGACATCCCAGTGGGGCCAGCAGTTGACATAATGGCTATGTTGTTGGACTCCCATGTAGTCGACTGCAGTTTGAGTCCCAGACCTGGTGACTTAAACTTACGCCCGGCACATGTACGTGCCCAAGATCTCAAGAGGAGAATGGAGGAGAAGGGACTGCAGCGTGACCATCCCCCCTGGGGGGTGATTTCTCACTTTCTGTCTCTCTGTCTTTCTGGCAAGTGCACACGCCCTATAGCAAAAACGTCTAAAAAAAATACATCCCATTAAGAATCTTGGAAAATTCCACCTCTAAAAATTGAATGAGAGTCGGTCAGCTCTGACATTATATTTTAACTTCTTCAGAAGCCACAGGAAGAAAGAATGGATCCTGAAAATCTTGCCATTTTAGAAAAATAACCAGACAATTGTGCATCCAGGGTGTCTGGAAGAAGAGCACTGACCCCATTAATGGTCATCATATTTTTTAAAAAGATTTTATTTTATTTTATTTATTTTAATTTGACCAGAGAATGACAGAGTGAGAGAGACAGAGAGACGGAAAGTGAGAAAGCAAGCTGCCAAGTCCAGGACTCGAACTGCAGTCAGCCACGTGGGAGTTCAGTGCCCTTAACCACCAAACCACCTGCCGGCCCCTGGTCATCATATTTGAAACTGAAATATGACAAGCAAGTTTAGTGCTGCTCTCAGGACTGAATGTCATAACAAGCCAAGGACACATTACTGGTTTATGGTCAGAAACATTTCAAGTTGAGCTGGACGGTTCTTTCCCATGACTGCAGGACCACTGAAAAAGTCCACCTCAAAAAAAAAAAAAAAAAACCCAAAACAAACAAAAAACCCAAGACTTGATTTGAAGTGTGTCTCTAAAGACCCTTTGGCAGAAACCACTTCTACAAAAGAAAAAATTTTCGAAATCTTTAAATTCTGCCAAGAGCCCTGAAAAAATAAATAAATAAAAAAGATGACTCTGCCTGGCTGAAGCAGGTAGCAAGTCCAGCTTACCATCTCCTGAAGAAACATGGCTTCGGCTCTGGGCCCCGGGCTATCCTGCAGAGTACTGGGCTCCATTTGAGCAATCTCTTGTCCCTCCTTCCCCTCCTTCACAGCCTTCTCTGGATTTGGCCTCTTTTCTGGTTCCTTGGGATGTTGAGAGCCCAGGGAAATGTCCAAGGTTTTCTCTTCCGTCTGGGCGCCGGGACCCAGCGGTAGGCCCTTGCTGCATTCCGCTGTCCCCACTGTGTCAGGTACCGGCTTGGCATCTTCAAGAGCTGCCTTCTTGGGTCCAGAAGCTGCAATGAGATGTGAGTTATCGGTTACAGAAGACTGCATTTCAAGAGAAATGTCCTGTTTCCTGGGCCTGCTTCACAAGGACAGAGGAATGCTCCCAGCTCGCTGCCTCTTGAATTCTTTACCCTTCTTTCCTAGCAATGTCCTGGCCTCACATTCTGGGGGCACAGACATCAGAGATGGGAGGGACCTGGAAGAACAGCTTGACCAGTGGTGGGGTGCAGGACAGGTGGGATCATGTCTTAATCTCTGTAACTCCACAGGCCGTAGTACACACACTAGGGAGCATGGTGGAGCGCTTATAAGCATGCACTTCTTTTTTTAAGAATCATTTATTTATTTCCATTTGTTATTATTATTATTTTTTAATTTGATCAGAGACAGAGAGAAAAGGAGAAAGCAAGCCACCAGGTCCAGGACTCCAACTGCAGTCAGCCATGTGGGAATCCAGCACCTTTAACCACTATGGCACCTGCCAGCCCCACAAGCATGGATTTTTAAATCCTGGCTCTTCTGCCTCTTTGCTCTGAGTTAGTGAGCAAATTACTAATTCCAAATTTATTCTAAATTACTTATACTAAGCAAATAGGGATAATGGTAACTATGCCTAAACTTCATGGGATTGTGAAGAGAAATGAGATAATACATGTAGAACACCTAGGACAGTGCCTGATGACATACTATGTGTTGGAGGAAAGCTAATATTAATTAAAATAGTGAGCATTTGTTGGTTGGACTGCTGGCTATCCTTCCTTTAGGGTTCTCCCTATTTCCATTTTACGTGGCTCATGTTTGGCCGCTGATCAAACCCCTCCTTATTCCAGACTCTGCCCAGAGACTGGGTCTGGCCAATCCTGGAACCCTATTAGCCTAACAGTGATTGGCCCAAGGTTGGGCAGCAACCCAAGCAGGTCCAATTGGAAACCTCCCTGTATTTGATATATGGAAACTAGGAGGAAGACGCTCTTTCACATTGTTAGGGCTGCTAACTGTATTCTCTGCAGGTATGAAGTAGATGTGAAGATGGGGAGATGGAGAAAGAATGAGTCTGGAAGACTTAAATCCCCAATTCCAGCCCCACAGCTCTGCATTCCATTTTATGAGATTTTCTTCCTTCCTTCTCACTATGGAAGCAAATAAAAGTCATCGCTAATTGAGTACGTGCTGTGTATTAGACACTGTTCTGAGAGCTCTACATGGCTTAACTAATATTCACAAAAAGTTATGAAGAAGGTACTTTTTCCTTTTTAAAGTTTGCTCTAGAGCACATGTGCTTGCCAGAGAGAGAGAGAGAAAGAGAGAGAGAAGGAAAGTGAGAAAGCAACCTCACCCCCAGCCCACACAGCAATCTCTTCTCCTCCTTTCTCCTCTTGGGATTTGGGGCATGCATGGCATGTTCCCAGTGTGTTTTGCAAGCTGCTGGCTCCAGTACTCAAGCTATGCAGTCAGCTATGTGGGATCTAGTTCCCTTAGCCTCCATGCCGCCTGCTGGCCTGAAGGTACATCTTTATTAACATCATTCTTCCTATTTTAATTTATTAAAAAACTAAGACACAGAATGATTGCATTAACTTGCTGAAGATCATGCAATGACATGGTGGAGCTGGATTTGTACTCAGGCAATCTGGCTCCAGAGCCCACGATGTTAACCACTTCATTACACTGCCTTGCAAATCCTTCTTCAGCAAGTTCAAGTCTAGTTATTTGTCGGTTGCAATGAAAAGAGACCTGCTCTCCCCTATTTTACCTATAGATGTCTCAGCTCCCTGTGGCTTCTCCTCTTCTGCCCAACCTCCCCTGTCTGATCCCTGGAAAGAAAACTCTTCCAGGCTGGAGAGAGACTGCAGCTCCTTTGGAGGTGTTCTGCAGGGAGTGCTGTTGGTGCTGATGACAGCTGACACGCGGAGCGGCACGGATACGGCAAAGGGCTCGGAGATGTTCAGCGCCTTGCGCTGGTGTCGGGGGGAGGGCTCCATCTGGAACAGGCTGCTGGTGAAGACAGATTTGCTGGGGCTGTCATTGGAGGTGTAGAACATACCCAGCATTTTGGGGGCTGTCTGCTCACTCTCAGGATCTTCGATGGGCCGAAACACCTTCAGCTGCTCGGGCAGGGGCCGGGCCTGAGCTCCCTGGAGGTGGCTTCTGTCACTACTTACATCAAAGCCTCCCTCGGCCCCTGTAGGCATCACCTCCTGGCCCCATTCACCCTCCTGCTTGGTGAGGTCACAGGAGCTGCCAGTGCTGGTTGAGTGCATTTTTGTTGCCGGAATGAAAAATCCACCGGTGGTAACTGTTCTATTGAAATTTCCTTTGGTGTCTTTTCCTGGCGAAACAGAACATGCACACGGTCAGCTACCTGGGCAGGTGCACTACTGTGCAGCCCTCCAGTTAGGACAGGCACATGCCAGCAGGATATTGGAAAGGAATAACATTTTTTTTGAGAGATTTTTGCTGTAAGGCATGTGCACTAGCCAGAGAGACAGAAAGCAAGAAACCATCCCCCTCGGGTGATGGCCATGCTGCATTCCTTTCTCCTCCATTCTCCTCTCAGGATTTTTGGCATGCATACACATGTGCCCAGTGTGAGTTTCAAGCTGCCGGGTCCGGGACTCGAACCATAGTCAACAATGTGAGAGTCCAGTGATGTAACCACTACACCATCTGCTGGTCCCAGGAATAACATTCTAATAAAAGTACAGCCATCTTAATAAAGACAGGTACATAATGTTTGGCTGGCAAGGGAGAGAGCATTTTCTTATCTGCACAGAATTTTGGCCTGAGGCTCAGATAAGACCACTGATGTTGTGCCAGATGTATCAGGTTTAAACTTCAGGTAGAAAGAAGGCCACCGCTAGGATCGCTAAACAGAACTGTCATCTACACATATCGACTGTAACAAAGGCTATTGTAGTTTGTACATGCCTGATGCATCACTGGTGTCTAAGCAATGTTTGGTTTTTAATTGCCTGAGGGTACCTGTGCTCAGAGAGAGACGGAGACACAGGGGTAGAAAGGGACAAAGCAACTCCCCCTTTCGCCTACTCCTGGCAATGGTCGCATGGCAATCCCTTCTCCCCCATTTCTCTACCCTGTTGGGATTTTGAGCATGCATGTACACGTGCCAGCAAGTTTTTCAAGTTGCCAGCACCAGGATTCGAACCACTGTCAGCCATGAGGGATATAGCTCCCTGAACCCCTAGATTATAAGGCTGGCCTTAATCAATGTTCACTGATAAATAACAACTGAACAAATGGATGGACCTACCAACTCAAAGCCACTATTTCACAAGCACTAAGAAGCTAATGCCTGTGGAAACGCCCACACTCTAGACACACATACATCCAGGTATAAAACATGAGATGTGAACCAGTGCAGTCCTCTCTCCACCCAAGGTGTTCTGCCTCACTGCCTTGGTATTCAGGTGTCGAAATTATCACCTGGGCCTGGTGTGTATGAAAGGTAGCTGTGGCCTCCAGCTGTGGCTAGAGGAAGGCTGGAGAAAGGCCAACCCTGTGGTACAGGAGCAGAGGGTACTGCAAGTGCTATGTGAACCCTGTGAGCTTGGCAATGGCCAGGGAGGGACTGGGCCTGGGTCGCTGCAAGATCGTGACAGCAGATGAGCAGGCATGAGGGCTTGTGAAGGCAAGTCTGGTGTGAACTCCAGCCTCCTGCTGGTAACTCCAGCTCAGAAACTGGGAAATCTCACCTTCCACAGGAACCGAACACAGTGAGTCCATGCTTTTAGCTGGTCGGATGGTAGCCTTTTCCACTAAAGACAAAAGAAAAAATATCCCTGGTGACTGCATATTAAAAGAAAGCACTCAAAACCACAGGTCAGGTTGTCAGTGTGTCAGAGAAATTTCTTTAGGAAGATTTTTAAGTATTTATCATTTACCCGCCTTAGAAAACGTGCCCCCCCCCACCACTGTAGACATTCTTACTTTCTTATTGGCACTTACCTTGTAAAAAAACCAGGGTATTTATAGGTCAAAGTTTCATGACTATCTTTACAGATAAAGGTAAATTACAATTCTGTCAACTGAGATGTGCCAAGCCCAATTTTATTGTACAAAAAACATTCAAGGATAAATTTATGGGGTAGAATTTGCAGGCTCCCGTTTGGCAGGCCAGAGAGCAGAATTCTGGCCTGCAGTTCTCTCCTTCAGCTCCCAAGAACCTGGCCCACTTGTGAGAGGGCCAAGCAAGGTGGAGTCACCTTGGTCCCAAGTGCAGTTCTGCTCCTAGTAGTCTGCAGACTGGTAACCTCCCCAGTGATCTCGCTCACCACCTCCGTCCTGGAGCAGATGTAACCAAACCTTTCGGAGTGCCTACTGTGTGCTGGGTGTGCTCTATGCATCTTCACAGGCCACTTCAGCAGATTTTGGAAGAAAGCAGTTGAAATGAGTAAAAACATATTCCAGGCACAGTTCACATTTCAGGAGCTGAACTGGCTGGAAGGTAGTTCTTTGTAGGTCGAGCTTGCTAGGAGGAAAAGGGCAGTTTGGAAGAACCTCAGGATTTTAAGGTGACTTTGGATTCAGAAAGGTCTAGGTTTGACTCTGAACTCTGCCACTTTTAGACATGGGACCTAAGATGAGCAGTCTAACTTTCCTTTTTTGGTCTTTTTTTCTTCCTTTTAATTTAGTTTATTTTCAATTGTCAGAGAGCACATGCACTTACCAGAGAGTGACGGAGAGAGGGAGCAGGAGAAAGCACCCCCTAGTGGGGCCTGGTCATGCCACAGTCCCTTCTCCATTTCTCCCTCCTGTCAGGATTTTGGGTGCACGTGCAGACATGTCCGGTGTATTTTTCAGGCTGTTGGGCCTAGGCTTATGTTGCAGGGATCTGTGGGCTACCTTTCATTACAGATGCCACTTTATAAACATAGAGGCTGCTGGTCTTTAGTTTCTAGGGTTCTTACCAATACTGTCTGGTATAAAGCAGCCATTCAGGCAGTAGTCGAGGCTACAGATAGCCGCTTACATCGACTCTGCTGGTTCTTTCACTCCACCTCTGTACAAAGTTCAGCCAGTATGGTCATCTCGGTTTCATTTGTTCCTAAGGTCATAGGTCAGTGACTTTCAACTCAGCTGCACAGCAGAATCACCTGGAGAGTTTTCAAAAACTTACTAACACCCAGGTCTCACCACAGACCTCCTCAGGCAAAAGAGCTGTGGGTGTGAGCACTGTGAGGCCATTTCGGAAGCACAGTCACCGCATTCGATCTGGCACTCAGATTTACTTCTTTTGAAAACTACACGAGGGTAGAAATCTTCCTGAGTCAAGATCAAAGCAAGTAAGGTATTTGCTTTTGCTTTTTCGTTTTGTTCTTTTTTTTTTTTTAAGCTTTTTATTAGTTAGTGCACCTCTTTCTTTCCTCTACTACTGATACTATAACTAAAACTCTCTCTTTGCTATGTTTAAGCAAGTCTTTCATGACAGGTTAGGAGTTTCTTGTCAGGTCCTCTGCTCAAAGTCTTCTTTGAGCCTCCTAATTTCTGACTTCTCTCTGTTCTGCCATACTTGTGGCAACGTGTCCTTTTCACTTGGGTTCTTTTTCCATTTTGAGAAAGATGTATTTCTCCTTACAACGAATGTTATAGATAACTAAATATCTCACAATCCATTTCCCTTTTGCCTTTCTCACAGAGCTCTTATACTTCTGTGGTGCATCTGACTATAATCCCATACCTCAGACCAGTGATGGGCTCAGGAACCCAGGCCAAAGCCACATGGCACTCTCTTGGCTACAAGGATTGATCCATATGACTCAGTGAAGGCTCTGGGTGGTTGTAGGGGAGAAATTCGGTAAGAACTTCTGAGAGATGGGACCAGCGTAATGGCTATGTTGCTGGACTCCCATGTAGTCAACTGAAATTTGAGTCCTGGACCTGGTAGCTTGAACTCATGCTGGGCACATGTGTGTGCATGCCCAAGATCCCGGGAGGAGAATGGAGAAGACGGGATTGTGGTGTGGCCATCCCCCCTGGGGGGTGATTTCTCGCTTTCTGTCTCTCTGTCTCTGTCTTTCTGGTGAATGCATGCACCCTATAGCAAAAACCTCTCCAAAATTAAATTAAATTAAATTAAAAAACAAGAGAGAAAGAGAACTTCTGGGAGAGTCCTTTCTCTTAGGTGCCAGCTCCCAGAAATGATGTTCTTTCTTCCTGTGGACATGCCAATGTGCTCAGGGAGATTCTGGGACATGACCTAGGGCCTGTCGGCCCCTTTAATTTCTTAATGTTCCTTAGTAGCTTCTAATATCCAATCTGCATCCATGTGTTTCTTATTTGTCCCCCCAAATGTCATTGTAGCTCTTTTTTTTTGAACCAAGATCCAGTCAAGGTTTGCTTATTGAATCTGTATATTTATCTTTTACAATTTGTTTTCATAACCTATAGCCTGAATATTTTTAATCATACGTTCAATCTACAACACTAAAGATAATTGTGAGATATTTTTATCTTTGTTTTCCCTTTCCTGACATAATATTTACCTGGATTGGTTACACTACCCATTGTATCGTGGTTCTATCATTTCCTTCTTACATCAATCTTTATTCACTATTAAGAAATAAGTCTCATGGGACAGCATCTCTATTTTAAAATTATGATTTTAGGGTTGGCAGGTGGTGTGGTGATTAAGGTGCTGGACTCCCCCATGGCCAACTGCAGTTTGAGTCCTGGACCTGGCAGCTTGCTTTGTCACTTTCCCTTTCTCTCTTTCTCTGTCTTTCTGTGGTAAAATTAAAAATAAATAATAATAACAAATAAAATTAAGTTAAATAAATAAATAATTCTTTAAAAAGTAAAAATTATGATCCTGAGGCCAGCCCATGGCATGGTAGTTAAAGCGGATGGCCTAAATGACTGATTGCATGGTTAGAGTCCTGGATTTTGTGACTAGAAATTAATACTGGGTGTGTGTGCATTCTGCACGTGTGCCGAGAATCCTGAGAGGAAAATGTAGGAGGGGGATTGTAGCATGGCCATCCCCTTGGGGGTGACTTATCACTTTCTTTATATCTCTCTCTTTTTCTCTTTCTCTCTCTCTCTGGTGAGCACATGTGCCCCATGGCAAAACTACAAAATAAATCATGAATGAGTAAAAAAAAAATAATAATAATTATGATTCTGGGGGAGAAGATACAGATCTTCCTTAGAGTACAATTCCAAAGAATAAAAATCACCATTTAGGAAACACCATAGTAATAAGTGTTGTGGAACTGAACCATTGACAGACGCTAAAATACATGACAGGCAGCATTTCGACCAAGTGATCAAAGTTAACTTCACATGCAGTAAGACATAGACAGCATTTGCCTCCTGATATGACACAGATAGGCACAATATTGCTTCTGAAGGAGTCTTGCAAACACCCATGACCTCAGTCTAATTCTGAGAAGACATCAGTCAAACCTACACTGAGGTATAGCCTACAACATAAAGGACCAGTACCCTTCTAACGTGTCCAAGTCAGAAAGACTGAGGAACTAACTAGTCTAGACTACAGGGGATTGAGGAAGGGGATGTAACAATGAAACCTAAGTGGGTTCCTGGATTGGATCCTGGACTAGAAAAAGGACATTAGTGGGTCAATTGGTTGAATACTGAATAAAATGAATAAATCAGTTAATACGGGTAATATTGATAATAGCTTTTCACTTTAATAATTGTATTATAGTAAGGTAAGGTATTCGCATTAGGGGAAGCTGCACGAAGGGTATACAGGTCCTCTGTGTACTATTTTTGCAATATTTTCCTAAGTAAAAAAAAAAAAAAAATTTTTCCCCAAAAAAGGTCTCTAGCTAATTAATAAGTTTCTCTTTCAGGGCTAGTGAGTTTGATGTGATCAAGCCAGACTTAAGAAGCAGAGTTAAAGGGACCAGACAGTGATGCAGCATAAAATGCAATGCTCTGCAAGGAAATTCCATGTGGGAAGGTTCCTGGTTCAAGTCTGGAGACCTCCCTGAGTATGTTGGGCAGTCCTGTGGCCATGAAGCAGGACTGGCTGAAGTTAGGAGTGGATCATGTTGTAAAGACCCTTCAGTAGGTGCTGTCTCTCTCTCTTCTTCTCACTCTCATTCTCTCTTCACTCATGGAAGAAATAAATGAACTTAAAAGAAAAAAAAAAAAGCAGAACAAGGGAAAAAATACGTATCATCAAACATAGGTGCTATTGACTCTTACCTGAGAGTCTCTGTCCTCTCACAAACACACTCCCATTTCTACTCAGCTTTGACTTGGAGTCTGATCCAGAACGTCCCAGGTTAAATATTGATTTCCACTTCTTTGATTTACTGGAAAGCTTTCTCCTAAAAGAGCCAACCATAAGGGGCTAGTTTGCTAGTGTACCATTTCAAGGGGACTTTTAAATCGAGAAAGAACATTCAAACTATTACTTAGTTATGAATGGCTCTGACGTTTCAGGAAATCCCCTCTAAAATTCAAAATGAGATTGACTTTCAGCCTGTCTGTGAATTCCCTAGAAGACCAAGCCAGGTTTTCACAAGTCATAGCAAAGATCACATTCCCCAGGGCAAGAGGCAAAGTCATACTATTGAAGACAGGGGTGAGGGCAGACAGAAGCAGGGGTTGGGGGAGACCTCGGTGAAGCAACACAGTTCTGGAAGTTTGGTAGAAATTCTGTTAAGCATGGGTTTTTTCAAACATACCATTTTTAAGAAATAGGATCAAAGACCATAGACCTCAGTCCTGCTCAGTTCCCTAGACTGTGGCCACATTGTGGGGACACCTGCAGATGAGAAGAGAGCTGGCAAAGATCTTTACGAACTGAAAAGAGACGGGCAACGAAGTGGATCTGGAAGATTCTGGTCTGGTGCAGCTGTGGGGAGCTGCAGTCTGCTGGGAACGGTCAGTGGCCACTACGGAGAAGCGTGGAGGGTGGTCAGGGTCTCTGGCTTTGCCTCACACCAGGCTTCCTTGGTGGAAGGGGGAAAAGGAGGGCAGTAGGTTGGGTCTGCTGAGCGTGGCACCAGTAAGGGTCCTCACAGAGCCTGCCCTGCAGTGACTTGGCTCAGTCATTAGACTTCATAAAGTTCCAGGATGAAACCCTGCATCCTGTGGGTTCCACAAAGGACCTTTTCTCTGCAGGTCTTTTCTCACAGATCTCAAGCCCAACCCGATCTCATAATCTGCCCAAGAGAGGTCTTCAGAGCTCAGTAGTTTCTTTTGAACTTAGCACATGATTTTTTTCAAGTACTTGGCTTGGGTGGGGGGTTTCCCACGGTTTTGCCATAGGGTGCACAAACTCACTAGAGAGGCACAGAGGGAGAGAGGGGATGGTCATGCCACAGTCCCTTCTCCTCCATTCTTCTCTTGGGATTCTGGGCATGCACACTTATGTGCTCAGTGTGATTTTCAACTCACTGGTTCCGGGACTCAAACCACAGTTGGCCATTTGGGAATTCAGTGCCTTAACCACCATGCCACCTGTTCCCTATGAGGTGTGTTTTATAGGGTGGCATACTTTGGGTATGGTGTACCCTAGTGTGGTGGTCCTTCCAAGGTACTCTTCTTCCTGACCCCTGGTGGGGTCTTGTTCTCCAAGGATTTAGGGAGAGGAGCATTAGGCTCAATCTCAAGAGCCATAAATCACATGCTGCAGGAAATAGTGGCGTTTCTCTCCAGGTGAGTTCCAGGGGTGCCATTCCTAGCAAGCAGTGTGACTGCCACCTCCCATAATTGTGCAGCGTGATAATGTCCTCTCCTTCCTCCCCAAGGGAAACAGCCCTTCTTGAATCCCTTTTCACTGACCAAGCAGCAGGATGACACCATCCAAAGAAAAGATTGCCTTTTAGTACCCCCACCCACTGCCTGTCCAGGTGTTAGAGCTCCTGCATAACCACTGTCTCCTACACAGGCTGCAGGATGACTGAGGGGGGTGGGAACACCGGAGGGGCAGTGGAGGAAGAAGGAGAAATGAGGAGAAAAGAGCCTATTAATGAAAATGGTGTTTGATTGTTTGAAGGAGGTGGGAGGGCTCTATAGGTGTGAGAGGCAAGGCAGTCCCCAGAACTCTCAGCTCAAAGTGGCCCCTCTGTCAATTACTCCGCCTCAAGGTTCATTGCTATGCCTTTTGTAATGTCAGGAGCAAGGGGAGAGGGAGCCACGTTTTTGTTTTGAGTCGACTACCTTGTATAAATGTCAAGCCTGTTTTTTTTTCCTAAACTCAGAAGTAATCACTTGTGACATGACCCCTGTAACTCCCTCCTCCGTCATGGTGCTTGGGGTTTCTGGTGGGAGGACGGGAACTTGATAACTTTGGGGCAGTGAGTGGAGGCATCAGCTGCTGGTGAGAGAGTGTATAGACAGTTCCTTCATTTTTGGAGTGTTTCCTTACACCCCAACCTTGGCCATTCCCCCAGTCCACACAGCCATCATGCCCTGGACCCTAGACATCTATACCTCTCCACCCACACACCTCCCAGAATTGAAGTGAATGCCACTTACTTGTTGTCTGGCAACTCAAGGACAGTATGGAAGAGAGTGCCCATGGGAGGGACAATCTCAGGCAGGCTATTCTCCCTCCTTTCTTTCCGGGCAGGATGGTTAGTAGCCAGGCTACGGGCCTGGGCTTCCTCCAGACTCACCAACTTCATGGGCAGGGAGAGAGCTGGTAAGGTCAGGCTCTTCATGATGGGCCGGTTTTCTAGAAGGGAAGGAGACGTGCTCACTCTGGGAAGAGGCCTGTACACCATGTCCAGCCCTCAGTTCCTGATCTTTCTTTATTTTATTATTATTTCGTTTGCTATAGGGTGCGTGCACTCACTAGAGAGAGACAGGATAGAGAGAGAGAGGGAAAGTGAGACATTGCCTCCCCCCCCACGAGATGGCTACACTGTAATCCCCTCTTCTCTATTCTCCTCTCGGGATTTCTGGCATGCTCACACACACGCCTGGTATGCTTTTTCAAGCTGCCAGGTCTGAGTCTCGAACCTCACAGTCAGCCATGTGGGATCCAGCTTAACCTCCATGCCACCTGCTGGCCCATTTCCCGATCTTTTGACAGAGCCTGAGCACCAGCCCTGTCTTTTCTTGGGCATGGCTGCCCTGAAGCTGAGGCTGCACAAAGAAATGGACAACTCTCCTGGTCAGACCAGCCAGAGACAAATGGGCTTCAGAGATAACTGAGCTTTCTGACCTTTTTAAAAATTTTTAAAAGAATTAAAAAAATTTATTTATTATTTAAAAAAAAATTGCTAGGGGCATGTGTACCCACCAGAGAGAGAGAGATAGAGAAGGTGAGAAAGCAAGTCACCAGGTCTAGGACTCAAACTGTGGTTGGCTATGTGGGATTCCAGTGCCTCACCCACCATGCTACCTGCTGGCCCCTTTGTGAGCTTTTTAGAGAGGGACCACTCATTCATTCACACACAAACACTTACTGAACATTTATTATAAGCTGGAGAAACAACAGTGAGTTCTTTAAAGAAAAAAAAATAGAGATTTTTGCTATAGGGCATGTACACTCACCAGAGAGACAGAGAAAGAGAGTGAGAAAGTGAGAAATCACCCCTGAGGGGGATGGCCACACTGCAATCCCTTCTCCTCCATTCTCCTCTCGGAATGTTGGGTACACATGCAGTTTCAAGCCACTAGGTCAGGTCTCAAACCGCGGTCAACCATTTGGGAGTCCAGAGCCTTAGCCACTATGCCACCTGCTGGCTTCAACAGTGGGTTCTTACTCCTGAAAACTGCCTTATGCTTTGGTCAGAGGGGAATAAATATTGATGCAGCCTAATTCAGCAAGAGCAAGGCAGGGGAGTGCCCCTTGTCCCCCCAGCTAGAGAACACATGCCTCACGGCAATTTAAGATTCCCCTGAACTACCTAGGCTTAGATCCCTGAAGGAAAAAGACATGTCGTAGTCTACCCTATTCCCTAGAACATGTGCGGCTCTTTACTCTCTACCCAGTCATCTCCCTTCCTACGCTGCAGTACGTTTTCAGGAATGAAAGTGAAGACAATCAGTAATGTATGGGGTTCTCTCTTCTTTCCAAGGTAGTGATTTTCAGCTTGAGGAAATCTACATACCACCCCACCTTGGCCTGGACATTTGGTAATGGCTGAAGACATTTTTGATGGTCACAAATGGGTGTGGGAACATGAGTGAAATCTGGTAGGTAGGACCAGGTATGCGGCTAAGCCCCTAGAATGTATAGGCAGTACCCCACAGAATTACCCAGCACTAAATATCAGTAGCGCTGAGGTTGAGGAATGCTGACTAAGTAAAAAAGAAGTTTACATTTGCTTCTATTTCATTTTTGGTGACTTTGCCAGTATTCTGTGACTTCGAAGCTGTGGATAAACTCAAGGGTAACGTGGACCAACTGAGATGGAGACTCACGTTTGGTATAGCTCTCCCCTCACTGTCAGAGAGCAGCTGGGTGGCACTACTTCTCTCTGCAGAGTGTGACCCTCTCTGACTTCCAAGTCACGGAACTATCCTCACAGAAAGCGGAAACAGTGTGTGACATGGGGTGTTTCCACGGCAGTCACTCAGCAGGACTGCACTTCAGTACCTCCTGTGATCCTGGGAACTTTCAGTAGAGATTCTGATTTTTTTTAAAAAAAAACTTCATTTACATATTGAGAGAGAGAGAGAGAAAGCCCTGCCAGGTCTTATGGTGCTGTAATCCTTTCCAGAGCCTTCCTGCCAGCCAGTACTATGGATGTGCACACAGGTGTGCAGAGCACGTTCAGGTCCACCCAGGACTAAGCCTGGGGCCTTCCCACATGGCTGCATACTGCACAGTGGCGCCCTGCCATTCATGCCACAGCAGGCGGGCCATAGTTAGCAACTTTAACCCAGTTTTCCCACTCAATCCAAAGGAAGTTAAAAATATTTACATTTAATTTACTTTCAATATTTGCTCAGGGTTTTTCTTTCTTTCTCCTTTCTCTCTTTCTTCTTCTTCTTCTTTTTTTTGAGAGACATTTTCGCTATAGGACACATATGCTCACTGGAGAAACAGACAGAGACAGAAAGACAGAAAGCAAGAAATCACCCCCGGGGAGGATGGCCATGCTGCAATCCCTTCTCCATTCTCTTCTCAGGATTTTGGGCACTCATGCACACACGTCCAGTGTGAGTTTAAGCCACTGGGTCTGAGGCTCGAACTGTATTTGACTACATGGGAGTCCAGCAATGTAACCATTACGCTATCTACTAGTCTCAAGGAAAAAGCATGGACTAAAAGATTTGGGTTCAACATTTTGTCCCCCAGTTGTTATACTATCTATGTGGCTTTGGGCAGTCACTAAACTTTTCTGGTTCTCCGGTTCCTCATGTATAAAATAAGGTTGATGACACACTGATTGGTTTGGTAATTCTGTGAGATCATGTAATAGTACAGTGTCTACCACAGTTCCTGACAATATATCCCCAATAAACGACTGGTTGACCCAAAAGAGTGATGGAATTAATGAATGCATATTACTTCTCATTTATTTTCAGGAAAGCTTTTATATATCTTACAATTGAAAAACTATAATGGGAAATTATATTAAAATGCAATTAGTGGGACCAGCAGTTGGTGCAATGGCTATGTTGTTGGACTCCCATGTAGTAGACCGTAGTTAGAGTTCCAGACCCAGTGGCTTAAACTCACATTGGATGCATGTACATACATGCCCAAGATCCCAAGAAGAGAATGGAGGAGAAGAAATTGTGGTGTGGCCGTCCCCACTGGGGGGTGATTTCTCGCTTTTTGTCTCTCTGTCTTTCTGGGGAGCGCATGTCCCCTATAGAAAAACCTCTCCCCCACCCGCCAAAAAAATGCAATTAGTTGAAAAAAAAAGTTAGCCATTCTTAGATATATACTCAGGAGAATTAAAAACATATGTTCACACAAAAACTTGTACATGAATGCTCACAGCAGCATGATACAGAATAACCAAAAGGTAGAAACAACCCAAGTGCTAGCCAACTGGTGAAGGAATGAATGAAATATGGTATGTCCATATAACAGAATATTATTCAGCCATAAAAATAAATGAACTACTTGATAAATATGACAACATAGATAAACTTAGAAAACATGCTAAATAAAGAAGTCAGTCACAAAAGACCACACACTGCATGATTCCATTCACATGAAATATCCAGAACAGGCAAATCTATAGAGAAGGAAAGTAGATTACTGAATGCAAACGCCCAGGGAGGAGGGGAAGATACGGAGTGCCTGTGTAGTGAGTGTGGGCTTTCTTTTTGGAGTGAGGAAAATATTCCCTTAGAATTAGATAATGGTGATAGTTGCACATTTCTGTGAATACACTAAAGACTATTGAATTTACACTTTAAACAATTAAAATGAAAACATTTATGCTACATAAATTTTATCCCAATTTTTTTTTTTTTTAAAGCAAGGGTCAAAGGGTTGGCCTCTCCTTCCAGTCCAACACTTAGCAAAACGAGAATCCATGTGCATCTGAGGTGGGCCCAGCCATTTCCCTTTAATCAGAAAGTCTCTCCCCCAAACTTTCCCTTCTGGGTCAACACCTAGTAAAGCGAAAGGGGGGGTTTCTGTCTCTGTCTCTCTCCCTTTTTCTCAAAATTCCAAGTGCTAGCCAACTGGTGAAGGAATGAATGAAATATTGTATGTCCACATAACAGAATATTATTCAGCCATAAAAATAAATGAACTACTTGATAAATATGACAACATAGATAAACTTAGAAAACATGCTAAATAAAGAAGTCAGTCACAAAAGACCACACACTGCATGATTCCATTCACATGAAATATCCAGAACAGGCAAATCTATAGAGAAGGAAAGTAGATTACTGAATGCAAACGCCCAGGGAGGAGGGGAAGATACGGAGTGCCTGTGTAGTGAGTGTGGGCTTTCTTTTTGGAGTGAGGAAAATATTCCCTTAGAATTAGATAATGGTGATAGTTGCACATTTCTGTGAATACACTAAAGACTATTGAATTTACACTTTAAACAATTAAAATGAAAACATTTATGCTACATAAATTTTATCCCAATTTTTTTTTTTTTTAAAGCAAGGTCAAAGGGTTGGGCTCTCCTTCCAGTCCAACACTTAGCAAAACGAGAATCCATGTGCATCTGAGGTGGGCCCAGCCATTTCCCTTTAATCAGAAAGTCTCTGCCCCAAACTTTCCCTTCTGGGTCAACACCTAGTAAAGCGAAAGGGGGGGTTTCTGTCTCTGTCTCTCTCCCTTTTTCTCAACATAAATACACAATACACACACACACACACACACACATATATGTTTTTTAAAAATCTGTAAGTACTGTCTCTTGTCTCTAACTTCTCCCTTCTCTAGGTAATTTCAGACTCCATGTGCATCTGACATGGGCCCAGGCTTGCCCCTTTCATGTGGTGCTTTTATTCTGCCTTAAATTTTTTTTCCCTTTTTATTGTTTTGTTTTGCCCCCCCCCCTTTTTCCATTTTCTTTTACCTGACTTTTTCATCTTGCTCTTTAACTTTCACATGCTGAGTGTCTATACCAGTCTAGGTGCACAGTGGCCAAACATCTGAATACTTTTAGTGTTATAGAAAACCTCAGCCCCCACTGAACTGCTACAGAAAGGGAGAAACTCATCATAAATCTGAATTCAAATCTCTTTCTGTGGATACCGCATTTCAAAGCACAGTAGTGGAGGAGGAATAGGCACAGA